TCTTACTCCCAAAGCCCAACATACAGCACTAATGCTGTTACATACTCTGGTAAGCTGTGAGACGTTATCACAAAAGCACTGCTCCAGGAACAACTTTTTTACTGTAGTTCGTGAGTAACATGAAGGTGAATCGTAATGCAGCCGATCAGTTGTGTTCTGGATAACAAATGAGTATATGTGTTTGTTTTTAGCTGTATGAGAGCGGCAATAACAATGGTAAACAATATGTCTAACATTTTTTTGATGCTAGTCATGCTGTGTTTACCTCATAGGACAGCTACAGCGCCTTAGCTCTGTTAGCATAGCTTTGAGACCTTTCGTCTGATTCTGTGACATGTTGAATAGAAATGTTGAATATGGTCTCATTGTGTAAATAAATGTTTTTTTCTGAGAACCTTTTGAGAAGTTGACAAACAGCAGCAGTAAGTAGGTTTGGATGTTTTTCAGGAACCTCATACTCTGGCTATGAAGCTGCAGTTTACTCAGCAGCCTCCAGTTACTACCAGCAGCAACAGCAGCAGAAGCAGGCAGTGGCAGCTGTAGCTGCAACTGCAGCATGGACAGGCAACACCTTTACTAAGAAGCCCCCCTTTCAGAGTAAACAGCTGAGGCCCAAACAGCCCCCCAAACCTCCTCAGATACACTATTGTGATGTGTGTAAGATCAGCTGTGCTGGCCCACAGGTGAGTTCACCGCTGAGTGCATGGATATCTAACAGTCATGTTTAAATGTAAAACGTCTTGTGATATCTCCACTTGTTTTCTATGGAGTGCCTAATGTTGGCCAGCAAGTCTTTCAACCATGCAAAGATAATACATATATGCCATCCAGCTCATCAGCTTGTCTGTGTGCCCTGTACGAGGTCGGTGGGATTCAAATGTAAATGATGCATCATGCAGTTTGTTCCTTTTCAGCTACCAGACACTCTGTGATCAACTCATCAGTGAGTGGTAACTTTGTTGCTTTTTAAAATAATTTTTTAAAATAATTAAAGATTAATATCAGTCTGTACATGCTCCAGAGAGCTTTTCTTCAAATTCTTTAATTCTCACTGGCTTATACAACTTTGTACTTTTGTGTTACTCGCAGCAACAACTCCACCTCATTGTTAGTCCATTTAAAAAACTTGGTGCATTTCCTCGACATTTTGCCGCAACGTTTCAAAGAGCCGGAAAGTAAATAAACGGCAGACAGAAATGAAGCAGGAATCTTGTTTCACGCATGCGCAGTACTGGAACATAAGTGTTTTTGGTCTTTTCAACGTGGACACACACCTCTGAACAGGACTGAAACGCTAGTGTGGACGCGGAGCTTTTTCAGACGAAAACGCAGTTTTCAAATCTATCCGGGCCAGTGTGGACGTAACCACAGACACTGTGGAAGAGCTGCAGATGCATATGATGTGCTCAACAAGCATAAACTAAGACTCACAAATGTGTGCAGTGTTTTGTGTGTAACTTTTGAGGAGTCGTACTTCAATCCACACACAAATATAAAGCAGGTTGACCAAACGTAAAACTGTTTTACAAATCAATGCAAATCTGAAGAAGTACTGATTGTTTCTGCACAATTTATTAGGTTCATCTCACGAATCTGATCATGTTACCTTGCAGAGACCTTTCTGTGGACACAGATGTCAAACCTCCTTAAATACGTGTGGACACAGATCACATCGCATGCTGTTGGGTTCATTTTTGAACTGAAAGTGCATAAATGTGCTAAGCAGTTAAAGCTGTGAGTTAAAAACGGCTGCTGTGTCTGTTTGCTCACTCAGGACAGTCAAACGATCACAGAGCACCACACGCACACAGGGAACACTTATTGTGACTCACAGAAACTGAGTCTGATACCAGCTCACGTTTCTTCTTCTGCACCTCTGTGGAGATGACCCTTCTGCAGGCAGCACTCCTGTTACCATGGCAACCCTCCCTCCGGTCAGGCTTGCGTGAAGAGAGATTTACAGCCTTGTTTCCTTTAGCAGAGTCAGGCTTAAGATTTTATACCTTGTGGTGCTTTCACCAGTGAAACAACCCCCCCTCATATTCCTGAGAGAAGGAGCTTTTCCCTGGGATGTCTGAGACTAATTTAATGCTGCAGCTTCTCACAGATCCACACGGGTAGGCTGCTTTCAGGTCCCAGTGTAAAGCTTTGTTTGTTTTATTTTTTTCAAAACTAGAAGAGGTGATTTATCCATCACAGAGCCGATACACCAGCCTCTAAAGGTTCATGCATGGGTTAAATAATGTGCTCTTACATGCTGGGGAAATTCAGCCAGTGCTCAGCTGCAGACAGAGGGGACAGCATGGTCGTACTGTGGATCATCCACTGGAGTGAGTGTGTGTTAAGTTATATATTTCAAATAAACAGATATTTGATTCAGGTACGGTGGAATAACACTTTAATGTTAATCTTAGCACTCTCTAATAACAGCGACCGTGGCTCAGGGGGTTGGGAAGCGCATCTAACCGGAAGATCGCCGGTTCGATCCCGGGCTCTCTGTCCTGATTCCTTGGGCAAGACACTTTACCCTACCGCCTACTGGTGTTGGCCAGAGGGGCCGATGGCGCGATATGGCAGCCTCGCTTCTGTCAGTCTGCCCCAGGGCAGCTGTGGCTACAACTGTAGCTGCCTCCACCAGTGTGTGAATGTGAGAGTGAATGAATAGTGGCATTGTAAAGCGCTTTGGGTGCCTTGAAAAGCGCTATATAAATCCAATCCATTATTATTATTATTATTATTATTATAATTTTGAATACTGTCTGCCAGCTCTCTTTTATATATTTAATTTATATAGTTTATTCCAACATGTGCATAATAAATGATCCCAAACATGTCAGTGGTCATCCAGGTCTTGGTGGTCTACCATTACTGTTCAAACAAATAATCCCGAACATTCAGGCCACTGTCTGTGTTTGGTAAACTGTTGGTTTCTAGTAAAGCGGTTATTATCTGTGATGATCATTTAGAAAAACACAGGCATACAGTGGAAGCCCTGATGTCCTACGTTTACACTGGGACTTGAAAGCAGCCTACATTAGTGGACCTGTGCGAAGCTTTAAACCTGCCACAAACCCGTATGGCGTGACCTATCGGGTGATTCGTCCACACGTATGGAAGGCCTTGTGAGCGAGCGAGAGAGAAGTTGCGTGTAGTTTGAGACATCTGTGTGCAAAGAAAGGGTTTTGGAGGGTAATATTATCAGATTCAGGAGCTGAACTTAATACACTGTGCGTAAACGATCAGTATTTATTCAGGTTTGGATGTACGCGTTTGTAAAATAGTTTTACGTGTGGTCAGATTGCTTCGTATTTGTGTGGATTAGTCTAGAGGCCGCACACGTGTGGGACATCAACAGTTACACACAAATCATTGCACACATTTGTAAATTTTATTTTACGCTTGTGGAGTACATCGTACACGTTTGCAACCCTTTGAAGATTAGGCTCAAAGCTATGGAGAGAAATTTGTCTCCAAAGTAGAGATGGTGTCTGTGTCCTGAATCCAGACAGCAGAGGGGCCTGTAAGCTGAAGGCTCCGCCTCCCATTCGACTTAGTAAAGACTGACGACAATGAATGTTAGGCTAAATATGGTGTGTATGGATATGATGCTTGGGTTAATTTACTGATAACTAATGAACACACAGAGTTAAGTTCAATGCTTTTCACAGTCAATCATAAGATTTAATTGTTTTATGGTTATTAGTGGACATGGAAGTATTATGTACTGAAGTCAGAGGTAAAGCCATGTGCTCAGTTTGCAGTGAGCAGACTGCTGTGTTGAGGAATCACCGGCCTAAACACAAGAAGCTGCCTGATGCAGAGCAGGTTCAGACATCAGACGTTTGCTAGCAGAGCTTCAGGGATGGAGCAGTTAAGACCAGCTTTGAGATTTTCTACAAATCCCTCAAAAAACAGAAAGCCATTCTTTGATGGGGAGTTTATCAGAGTTGGGTGGACTGACATGGTAATGTGTCCTGAGGAGGGAAAAAACCGTGAACCATAACAAGAATGATCAAGGACGTTTCTGTAAATCTACAACTTCAGTTGACAAAGAGCAACATTTATAAAACATTTATGCAGTCGCTTGTGGGAATGTTGATTAGTGTTTTGTCTCATGAATAATCTGTGTGTCCCTCCAATCTGCATAAGACTTACAAGGAGCACCTTGAAGGCCAGAAGCACAAGAAGAAGGAAGCAGCGTTGAAGGTTTCTCAGAGCAGCAGTAGCAGTGGTAGCGGTGGAGGAGCACTGGCCCGCAATGCTCAGAACCAGCTCCGATGTGAACTTTGTGATGTTTCGTGTACTGGTGCTGACGCCTATGCTGCCCATATCCGTGGAGCCAAGCACCAAAAGGTATGATTCACATTCCCACTGTGTCTTTCACAGCCCACACACTCTGCTGCTAAACCCACAGATGAACAAACGTAGCACCACTCAAGGGAAGGAAGCAGGCTTTGCAGTGGTGTAAGATTTAGCATTGTTACAACAAAGAATGAAACACAGCAGTCATTTGAAGAGGCAGCCTATACTTTCTGTCCACAATGATCGTCAGTGCTCAAGCAAACCTGGCTCTACACAGGAATCTGTTCTAGTGTCTGCTGTATGTAGAATAATCAGAAAGCGTCTGTGCACTCGTTTCTCTTTTCCAGGTTGTAAAACTCCACACCAAACTCGGTAAGCCCATTCCATCCACTGAGCCCAGTATGGTTACTCAGACATCATCCACCACGACAGCTGCTCCAAGCAAGACCACACTGGCTACTTTCAGCAGTTCCAGTACCACCAGCTCTCCATGTGTGGCTACCTCCTCCTCTCCTGCCTCCAGCTCCTCCTACCTGAGGCCCATTAACCTGGTTAGCAGCGGTGTGGCAGGTGTTAAGAGCCCCCAAGCCAACAGCCTTTCTGCTGCCAGTGCTGCTTCAGTGGGGAAAAAAGTCAACACCCCCAAGATCAACTTTGTAGGTTAGTAAGTTGTTTAACAGCAATGCTCTTTGGTCTCATTTGCACCTGTTCATGAAAAATGTGAATAGTTCTGCTTAAAACAATCCTGCTTTATTTGTGACGAGCTTTCCTGATGATTGGAGGGAAACGGGAAGTGTGGCTTTTGATCAAAAGCAGAGAAACTGAAGTTGGGTCTGAAAATGTTGGTTGTAACAGTCTGAATACCAGAGCAGGAGATTTGAAGCTTTTACCTTTTGTTACTTGATGATTTAAAATAAATGCCACCCTGCTGTATTTCACTCGCACTGACTTACTGGCAGGAAGTGTGGATCATGTCCTTTGGTGCAGCTTTTGTTGTTGTTTGTTTGTTTTGAAGCGGGTGGAACAAGCAGTTCAACTTGATCATATTTATAATCCAAACATGAATTAATGGCAGGACTTTAGGCAGTGTTGTAGGATTGGGTTGTGATTGATAGGGGAGGGATTACTGAAGTTAAGCTGCAGGCAGTCATTTTTTTAGGTTATTTAACAGAAAAACAATGACAGTAACTGTGTCTCATAAAGATAGAATTAATCCTTTCTTTTTTTTTTTTCTTTTTTTTTTAAGACTTTTATTTAACTTTTTCCCCAACAAATACAAGACTGGTTCACATCCAAGATAGTAACACTACACAGCACTAGAATATTACACATTCTCCAGAGTCCACAGAGAACTTGTGATAATTTATGTCCATAATTGTTGTCCATTAGAATCCAGTTTACAGGTTGCTCCCAGTGTTTCCAGTGGTTTCTTCCATTTGTCCACAAAAATTCAGGAGCTCCCATCAATATAATGTCCCGGCCTGATCAGAGTCATAACATCAATGATGAGCGACTTCCAT